ACGTCCAGGATCACCAGGAGAGAGCACTATGGTCAGCTGGGCACATCTGCCAAGTGTGCAGGACAACAGAGTGCCAGGGACTGCAGCCCGTGGGAGCAGTGAAGCCTCAGTCCACTCCCCTTCACCTTTGATGTCTACGTTCAGGCAGACGACTTTTTATGTCCCTATAAAGAAGCCTGAGTCACTGCAACCAAAGACAGCTTATTCAGTTTTATCTAGAATATTTACTGGAGCCCTGCTGGCAGAGTGGTTAAGAGCTCGGCTGCTAACCTAAAGGTCAGCAATTGTAAACTACCAGCCGCTCCTTGGAAGCCCTATGGGGCAGTTCTACCTTGTCCTACAGGGTTGCTATGAGTCAGAACAGACTCAATGGCAACGGGTTTGTTATTTTTTTATAATATTTACTAAGACAGGAAAGTAGATATATTAAAAAAATTTTCAGTAACAGCTGAAAAAAGGTAAATCTTTAATCAACTGAAAAATTGATGAAACCATTCTACTTCCCAGGCATTCTAGGTAATACAGACTATATGTGTCTCCTGCGGAGGTAGACAAATATTTAGAGTTAAACTTCCAGTTAAACTTTACTGTTTTTTGAGTTAAAAAGAAACACTGTAATATGTAAACATTGACCAATTCTTTATGGTACAGTGACTGTGTATTCCTTCCATCTTCTTTTGCTGCTTCCTGCATCATTCAATCCTTTGCCCATAGAATCCTTCAGTGTTGCAACGCAAGGTTTAACTTATCTCATCAGTTCCTTCAGCTTAAGAAATGCCAAGCGTGCTCTTCCCTTCTGGCTTTCTAACTTTGGATCTTTGCACATTTCATTATAATATTTTACCCTGTCTTCTCGAGCCACCCTTTGAAATCTTCCGTTTAGCAATTTTATTTCATCATTTCTTCTGTTTGCTTGAGTTACTCTGCACTTAAGAGCAAGTTTCAGAGTCTCTTCTGACATCCATTTGGTCTTTTCTTTCTTAGTCATCTAGTGCCACTCTAACAGAAACACCACAAGTGGATGGCTTTAACAAAGAGAAATGTATTCTCTCACAGTCTAGGAGGCTACAAGTCCAAATTCAGGGTGTCAGCTCCAGGGGAAGGCTTTCTCTCTCTGTTGCCTCTGGAAGAAGGTCCTTGTCATCAATCTTCCCTTGGTCTAGGAGCTTCTCCACACAGGAACCTCAGGTCCAAAGGATGCACTCTGCTCCCAGTACTGCTTTCCTGGTGGTATGAGGTCCGCCTCTCTCTGCTCACTTCCCTTTCATCTCTTGTAAGATAAAAGGTGGTGCAGGCCACACCCCAGGGAAACTCCTTTTACACTGGCTCAGGGATGTGACCTTAGTAAGGGTGTTACAATCCCACCTTAATCCTCTTTAACATAATCTAATTTTGCCTCATTAACCACAGGCAGAGATTAGGATTTACAACATGTAGGAAAATTACAATCGCAAAACGGAGGACAACCACATAATACTGGGAATCATGGCCTAAACAAGTTGACACATATTTGTGGGGGACAAAATTCAATCCCTGACACCTTCTTTCCTATCTTTTTAACGACCTCTTACTTTTTTCATATATGATGTCCCTGACATCTTTCCACAACTCTGCTGGTCTTCAGTCTTTAGTGTTCACTGCATCAAATGTATTCTTGAGATGGTCTCTTAAATTCAGGCAGGATGGAGAAGCTCAATATTATCAGTCAAGACAAAGCCAGGGATGAGCTGTGGGATGGTTTATCAATTGCTCATATGCAAGTTCAAGTTGAAGCTGAAGAAAATCAAAGCAAGTTAATGAGAGCCAAAATATGACCTTGAATATATCCCATCTGAATTCTTAAACAATGGTTTTTTAATTGGCAACTTAATTATGAAACTAGGAAGTGCTTTATTCAGTGTAAAATAAGTTGAACTAGGGTTTAGATTGTCCTTTGTGGTCAAAATACCTTTAAGAGATGTCAGAAAATGCTTAGAAAGCAAGTAGATGATATCATGACACTTTTTCCTTCAGTCAGAAGCTCTTTTAAACTAGACCTATGAAGCATAGGATCTTTAGTAATGAAATTTGGGAAGAAATACAGACTAACCTTTAGCTTACGTGGAAACCTAGTGGCATACTGGTTAAGAGCTACGGCTGCTAACCAAAAGGTCTGCAGTTCGAATCCGCCAGGTGCTTCTCGGAAACCCTATGGGGCAGTTCCACTGTGTCCTGTAGGGTTGCTATGAGTCGGAATCGACTCGACGACAACGGGTTTGGTTTTGGTGTTTGTTTTTTTTTTTTTAGCTCATATAGCCTATTGTAAAAGAATGCTCAGGCCTTCCGTCTCAGGAAGGATTACTTTGTAAAGATATATTTAATTAAAATGTTTTAAAGCATCCCAGATAAAATAATACATCATAAAAAGCAATAGTATGGCAAATGTTTTGTTACATACATTTTTACCATAGTAAAATTAAAAATATTTTTACCATAAAAAGCAATAATAACAATCAAAAAGTTACTTTAGGGGTTTCAACTGTGTTATATATAAACCAATATACTATAATATCAACCAGTACACTGAGTATAGGAATAATGCTATTAATATCGATTGCAAAAACGGTACTTTTACTATTCAGTACTACAGCCTTCATTCAAACTGCTTACATGTAGAAACTAAGTTCAGCAACATTAACATTAAACTTGAAATCAGAAAGTAAAAGAAATGTAATATTGCAAATAATCCACAAGAAATAAGATCTCAAAGAAAGTATGCATATATTTTATGCTTTTATACAATGGTGTCATATCATTTGAAAAAATGCACCAAAGATACAGGACATTTGCCATTAATTTTGAATTTAAAAAAAATGTACTATGAAGTCTGAAGTTTTTAAGTTTATTTGCCTATTAACATCTATTAAGTAAAGGTTTTGTTTTAAAATAGCCTTCATCAGGACAATCTGACAGTTTCTTTCAAATTAAATGTACATACACTCCGAGATCCAGCAATCTCATTCCTAGAAATCCATGCTACAGAATTAACAGCATTATAAAGGTATATGTACAATGCTCACTGTCGTTTTATTTGTAATACTGAAAAGATTATAAAATTCTATTTGTAATTTTGAGACTTTCTCCAAATTAGTCTATAAAATCAATGCGATCCCAACCAAAATCTCTATGGGTTTGTTTTGTTGTTGACATTCTCTGTGTTTTGAGTTTATTTTGTGAAACTTGACAATCTGACTCTAAAATGTATACAGAACAATCGAGACATTAAAGAAGAACAAGTAGAAGGATCTGCTCTGCTGAAAGCAAGTTTACTATACCACAACATATATTATTGAGACAGTGTGGTACTGGATCAAAGACACAGCAACAATGGAACAGAACAGAGTACCCAGAAACAAATTCACTCAAACATGGACACAGTTTCTGAACAAGGTGCCACAGCAGAGCAGTGTGGAAAGGATGGGACAACTGTATAGCCATACGGGCAGGAAATGAAACTTGATGTCTACTTGGAAAATCATCTCCAAGTAAAGTATACATCTAAATGTGAAAGGTAAACAAGACACTACAGAAAAATACACTCAGAGTAGGAAAAGAATTATTTAACGAGAAACAAAAAACGCTAGCCCTAAAATAAAATACTGATCAACTGGAGTACATTAGAAGACCTTCTTTCCATCAAAGGACACCATCAAGAGAATAAAAAGCCAAGCCACAGAGTACAAGACATTTGCGAGAATATATCCTATAAAGAACTCCTATACACATTATATAAAAAAGATCTACAAATCAATAAGAAAAAGGCAATCCAATAGAAAAATGGGCATGAAACCTAAACAAGCACTTCACCAAAAAAGAATCCAAAAGGCCAATAAACAGGCGGAAAATGCTCAATCTCAGGCATCAGAGAAAGGCAAATTCAAACATTAAGAGACCACTACACAGTTTTATAAACCTGTTGGGAAGGTAAATATGTACGACCACTCGGGAAAACAATCAGCATTATCCTCTATAACTGAAACTAGTTCTACTCTTTGACCCAGTGATTCTACTCCTAAGAACATATCAAAAGAAATGCAGACACAGGTGCACCAAAAGACATGTACAATGTATTCACAGCAGCATAAGCCACAACAGCTAGGAAACAACCCAAGTGTGTAATTGTAACGTTTACATTTAGAAAGCACACTTCTGTGGGACCATTCTATAGAAAAGGAAGGAAACCAACACCACAAAGGATGGTGGTGATCTT